TCCTAGATTTCAGCTTGCTTATAGCAGTAACCAGTCAGGATTAGTTGGACAAAATGTCATTTCCAGCTGTGAGAAGTACTTCCATTCTCTGTGAATGAACCGCTATTACAAACAACAAAGCATTAACTAAAATACTGGCTCTATGGAAATTGTAACACACTTTATCATCAAGTTTTGTAGGGTATTTACACTTGCTTCTAATTACAACCTGTTATTTTGGTGACAATGTTTGCTGTGCTCTAGTAATAGTCATCAGCTGCTATTTAAATTCTAGCTCTTCCTTTCCAATGGAAACCTGCAGTAGGGTACTTTAAGACTTTCCTCCTTCCTGTGTAGACTCCTGCTAAAGAAGAACAGTTTGTTCTTTCTGCCTCTTGGAAACTTACTGGTGGACTTGCCAGCTGAGGTTGGGATCAAGCATGTTGTCATGGCAAGGTCCTGTGCACTGCTAGCTCCTGTAGTGCTGTGGCTCTCACGCAAGGAAGCGTGCTTCTGTGTTCTGGGTGGACAGGACTCTTTGATTCAGTTTTCATGGAAAAAACACTCTAGCTGAAGACATAATGGGGACCTACTTGCGTGTGAACATGATCAAGCTGCACGTGGAGTTTAAAGACCCCCATTTAATCTAACTTGAATTGCAGGAAACCTTGCTGAGGAGCCTAGGACCAGGAAGCCACATGACAAAGAGGCAGCATCACGATTATCCCTGCACCTGCAATACCTTAGGCTGACCCTGTAGGTGGCTAGAGCCCTGGCTTCTTTTGGAAGCAAATGCAAGACATTAGCATTTACAGCTTTTCAGAGTTTAAATGTCATGCTGTCAATTATTTTCTTAAAAGCGCAGAAAAATGCAGTGCTCAGACTTACTTCAGTGACCAAGACAAAGCAAAGAATCATTAAGAAAAGCCAGACAGGGTTGCTCTGGCCCATCCATTTAGATGCTGCTCTTGGAGAAGGGACTAAAGCTCCCTTGTGCTTGTCTGTTATATGAGAAGCAGCTTGGCAGATCCCTCAGCTGGCAGCTTTTGGTATTGCTGGCTACACCAATTTCCATCTAGTGAACCCAGTATTGTATTTTATCTTCACAATAAATGCTTTAATCACACGTGGTCCACCAATGCACCTTCATCTGAGTGAAACACTGTAGTGTCTAGCTCCATCCAGCCCCTGCAGGGCAGGACTGTATCTGTTTTACTAGAAAATACACTGAGGTAATCTTGAAAATATCTTTTCTTCAGACACTTGTGTGGCTAGGTATGTTAACGCTAAGTATTCTCTTCAATATGTGAAAAGAGCCAGCTCTTAAGTTACGGTTTCATTATGTGAATTTAAGTGGCACAGGGAAAACTCAGTCAAGGCAGGACAAGCTGTGGTTTCCATGCAAGCTGAACAGACCAAAAGTGATGAGGAAAGACAGGTTAAGTTTCAGTTTTCCCTCACCAGTTAAGGGGCTGGAATGTTGCAATGCTGAAATTTTACTGCATCTTGGTTAATACGTGAATTTATAATCAAGGCTACTAACATGAAGGGACAGAAAAATAGCCTACTGAAATTAAGACTGTAATGTCTGGCTTAGTAAGAATAGAGACCAATATGAAATCTCAAGAATCCATCATCTTCACCTTTTCAGAGAAAGATGAGGCAGACTTCAAATTTGAGTTATTTTTATGTTCTCTGGGCACTAAAAATACATCTTAACACATCTGCTTTTAAGTGTTCTCTTATTTAACAACAGATGTAGTTCACAAACACAGGAGTCTCAGCATCCTTTATTTTTAAGCCATTTTTGGTTTGCTTTTGTTAGCTCTTTTTTCCAGCAAGTCTTACCACCTTCTGTTTGGATGCAGTACACCTGCTTGAACTGCTATTTTTAGTACTACTGCCTGGAATATTATTGTTTGCTTAGTCAGACAATAGCATGCCCTTTAAAGCTATAGGGATTTGGCCTTGCTATGACCTTGTGCTTCAGCAGCCTTTAAGCATCTTAACAGGTCCTTTTCACACTGCCTACAGTTCAACAGCAGGTTGTACTTTCCAGAAATACAGGGGACAGCATCTCAGTTTTAACAGATCAGGATTCAAGAATTTACTGAACACTTTCCCAGGGCCCTTGCTTATTCTTATTAAGAATTTAAATCTTAATTTTAGTCCATTGTCCAAAACATAGAATACTTCCTTGCTATTATTCCTATTCCAAATACACGTGTAGAAAAGCAGCTTTTTAAGAACAGCATGATTTCACTCTTTGCACATTTGCTACTGCAGGTTGCTTATCAAGGAAAAGAGCACCAGCATACCACCCGGCCTCTTGGTGCCACTCATGCTTTATTAAAAAAAAGCTACACAATGCTAAGAAAAAAAAAATCGTTTACAAAAAAACCTGCAGCCATTTTCAAGAGATCTGATCTCACTTATAAATGAAAGTCAGCAGGTAAGAAAGTAAATGTTAATTTAACATTTCAGTTGCAGTACATCATCTAAACTTAATCATCCAAAACAATCAGTCATTCTTAAACTGACTGTTGATTATATCTACACAAACCACCATCTATATTACTTGATTAAAAAAAATCCCTGGGAAAATTTAGAGATAAATGGAAAAATGTCAGAAGAATGTTACTTAGCCTACATATAAACTCTCGAAGAAATGGAAAGATCTTTCTGGTCTTGCTCTCCTCTAAGTTAACTGCAATTCCTCTCTGTCTTTAAGAAAAGTCTTAGTGTAATGCTAAATTCTGTTCAGTGAGGCGATTATGAACTGGTATACCATGAATCTATGTAGTTACCACCAAGTTACACTAGTGCTATGTCCTACTGTCTCCATGGAAGTGTATTGTGCAAGTCTCAAGTAACTTCAAAACACTCCTGAAACAGCCCTTGTGTCACTCCTATGAGGTAGGTACTGTCTTTTCTTCTCCAAAGGAAAGACAACAGAATCTTAACTGCTACTCAGTACATCAGGCACACTGAAAAACAGGACAACAACTCTGCATTAGTATTTGCCTTTCCTGCTGCTTGCCTGAACTCAGAGCTTTCAACTACAACATTTTGTTTAGCACCATGCATTCCAGGAATAAACAGTGAATGATGTTTTTGATTATATCCATTCCAAGGTAAGGAAGATGTTCAGCATAACTGTTTTGAAACAAGCAGAAGCATTGCCATCACTAGTCTGCTCCAGTCTTTGCCACAGTCTACAATTTGTTACACAATTACTCTGCCACTCTTCTTTCTCAGCTTAAATGATACTGGGAAAAAACGAACTGTTGTCACAAAGCAGACAGACAGCATACAGAGGGCTACAGCTATCAAATGCAGTTCAAGTATAGCTAAATTAATGCTTTGCTGCTACTGCAGATATGACTCTGAAGCAAGTTTTTTTACCCTAAGTATAGATTCAGTAAGTCTTCACAATTTTTTGAATTGGTTCATTAAGGAGCTGCAAGAAAGGAACTGAACAGTGGTCCTTCACACTAAGGCCATAGCTTATTTGCACTCTAAAACCGTTTTAGCATCTCTTAGTAACAAGGAAGTAACCCTTGTCCCCATCTTCTTTCACAGTTCTTGCTCCTCTTCTCATAACTTCACATGAGCAGTTGTGTGGTAGTGTAGTAAGCTTGCTGAAAACTAGGCTGGTAAGAATGATAGGTTATACAAATGCTTGTGCTACCGCATGGCAAGGGCTGACAGAGACAGGCAGCATTGCTGTTTGTTCCATCTTAAAGTCAAAGAAACTACACTCAGTTGATAATACTAATGATATGCAATAATGTACCTGTGACAAAGCTATCTCTACATGTTTAAAAACTGAGTAGAAAATTACAGTACTAAAATAAAAGCTGTTGCTTTATCCTATTGGTTAACAACTACGTTCGCCCATTTGAAGAAATCAGAGTGTGTACACTGGCTTATTCACCAGAAATAATGTAAGAGATGCCAAAGTTCAATTACCACTGCACATTAAAATGTTGTTGCTAAATTTCAACTACACCAAGCTAACAAGAAACAAGGAATTCAAAACTTCATTTATCATGAGCAGCAGTAGGGGACTGCTGGCCACTATGAACTGTCTCTGGCTGCAAAAGTTACTATGAACCATCCACAGTGAGCACCAAGTTGTATGATCAGAAAGACTGTTTGGGTACAACTGGACTTTCCCAGTTCTAGCTCATATGCAAGCTGGCTAAACTGTGTCCTTTCTTCTTTCATGCTTAGAACTAACTTAAACATCTGGATGCTAACCACCAAGCATTCAACTGTTTGCTAAGTGATCTGTATGACAAGTCAGTGATCTTAACTATTAAAAATATTCTGCCTGGGCTAGCTGTATTATCAGGAAGTTGCTTTGGGGTTGCTTTTCCTATTCTTTTCCATAGCAAGATGAGTCAAGAACACCTTCACAGTTCATTCTGACAAGGTGCACAGTAAAGTAGTGCCAGTACACGTAGTTTCAGAGCTTAGCTGCTTTGAATGCGCTATGACAGGATTTGTGTGTATTGCTCAGTGTTCATGGGGTCAGAAGCTCAGTCCCTGCAGAGCAAGTGTAGATCTGAAAGAGCACTTTCACATGCAGGGATCAGGAAGGGGAGAAGGTGACGAGGTCTCAAATCAATGCCTCCTCCTGAACTGAAGAAGCTTCCAGATAACCTTCAGACACAGGAAGAGATGCAGCTGAGATACAAACAATTCAAGCCTTGTCCAAGTGCCTGATGTCAGCAAACTGACACTCTGCTCTCTTTACTGTCAGTTAAATTCCTGAATGCAATGGCTGTGGATCAATACCTCAGTACCTGGTAATCATGCAAGCTATGCCTGCCACAAAAGAAAATTCAATTTTGATTGCATATAGCTTTTCTGCTTTAGTACTGAACTAACATGTAGTTAATAATGGATATGCATCTGTGTTACTAGCAGGAAAGACAAGGTGATTAAAAAAACAACTCAGACAATGTACTGACCAGGGGAAAGAAGTACGAGATTTAAAAACTGCAAAGGGGGAATAGTTTGCCATTTAAAAAGATATTTGAAGCCAACAGTTTTTCAAGTTCAGTTTCAAGTGTGTACAGTAACTGCAAAGTCCTTGCCCCATGTAAAGCTTTAAGAAAAGTTGACATTTTGATACATATGACATTCTAGTTTGTGTGAGAGAACCAAGAACTTACTGAAAAGTTGTTCTGGCTTATTCAGTAATTTCTTGAGTAAACATTGCAGAGCTACCACTATGATCAGCATACCTAGGCTGCTGGCATGACTCAATAACTAACCATTTAACAAGTTGGGTATAAAAAAAAATTATGTAGTAATACCAATTCAGCACACAAATTCCATGCTTCACAAGTTCTGCTGCTGTGTAAGAGTCTTCCTAACATCTATGCAGGTAAGTTCAGAGTTTTAGGCCACTGCATGCTCAGATCAAAACAGCAGCAAAATATCTATCACTAAGAGCAGCTATACCCAATTGTGCCTTTAGAATGTAAACTATGCAGAAATCTAGATGATCACTGCCTTGCCACTGAAATAGGACCATGCACACAAGCTCCAGTGTGTGCACAAAGTATAGAATAAAGTTACTTACTGAAAAAGAAAAATGCATACAGCTTCTGATAAAGACATGATACAATCAAGACAGATTAAGTCACCAGACATTCAGATTAGAGGGAGGAGAAAAATCCTTCAAAGACAGTGTACAAGATGACAAGCCAGCATTACAAAGAACTCTAAAGGCACATTTCAGGTAACATGGTTCTGTTAAGACCAACTGCTTACACACGCAGGCACAAATCTTAATGGCTACCTCCCCACCCCCCAACAGTTAACAGAGAAGTGCATTTTCAGTAATATTAACACCATTCAGTTAATCTGTTCAGTCCAAATCTTTAGCAGTATTTTCCTTATATGGTGATATGGATTCTCTTGCACTATTCCAATCCAAAAAAACCAAACAGGCAGGATTAGTAAAGGTTCAACTGTTGTACTAGTTAACATTTACTCATCAGAGCCCACTGATCTCTTCTGTGCCCTCTTGTAGGGCAACCTCCTTGGTGAAGCTTTATCTATATTAAAAAACAAAAAAAGATAGTTGCATCAATTTCTACAGCTACTTCAGATTAAGTGTTATATGACCATGTATTTTTCTCCCTCCCAAACACAAGCCAAACTGCCCTTCTAGTGCAATGCATCACCACAGAGAAGTCAGTTCAACCAACTTGTAAGGCTTTAACTATTAGCATCCTAAATAGACAGTAACAAGAAAAGAATGTTCCTATTCTGTAACATGCAACTCCAGGGTGAGGGTTGTTCGATATGCCAGTTACTGAAATGCAAAAAAACCAAACCCAAAAAATAAACCCCACACCAACTCCTGATGAAACTGCGTGCTCTGTTTAGAAAAGCTTCATATACCATAATTACACTTTTAGAAAGTTAATGAACTATTTTGATCGTTATTGGTTTTGTGTTTACACGCTTAAAGAATACATGATTGACACTCCACTAGACAGCTTTGTCTTGCATGAAATACTTCTACATTCATACAGATAAACAGCAGAACATTAAGTGTTCTGGTTGTGAAAAACACACACTTTTCCAGGAGGCATCCATATTTGACTATGAAGAGGTTACTTAGTAATCAGATATCCCATATGGGGAAGCAACACAGCTTCAGCTGTATGATCACTAGATGCCAGAAGCATCATCCTACACTTAAGACTTTGACAGGCCTGTAGTCATCCTTTACTATGATGTTCCTTACATAGGTAGAATTTCAATCTTTGTAATATTATACAGAAGCTAGTGCTTTGCATGAAGCACTAAAGCAATTGCCAAGTGTATCTGTTGACTTAAAAATGCACATTTTCTTCAACAGAACCATCTCCAATAACTTCACTGTTAAGAGTATGTGCAAACACAAGGAGCAGCCATCATACCATTACAAGCTACTCAGTACAGTATGAGTATCTTTCAACAATAAAAGAGTCAAGACCCTCTGAGGATCTCAAAGGCCATGTATTTCAAAGGATTCTAGTGTAGAGTTTTAATTAAAACTAACCTGGAGCTAAAGAAAACCACAATTAACAACAACTTAAACATCAGTTTTTCCTAGACTTCAGGTATGATATGAATACCTATTTAGCTTAAGAAAGGGATGAGGGAAAAGAACCCAAACATTGCCAGGATCTGAACCCCTTTAAAGACAGCTTGCTCTTCTGGAAAAAAATTAGCATTTAGAGCTTCAGCCTTTCTTGCTAGATTGAGGCTTTTCAAATTCCTATGTCTAGATTTTATACTATCATTCTTGTGTCTCTCAGAAGACAGTGTACAAAAAAGTGTACATTTTCAGAAGTAAAACACCAGTCCTTATGCCAATGTAATATAGAAGAGTTAAAAAGGGTGAAGGAATCAAAAAAAAGTCATCAACTCCTGGCACAACTTCATATCAGGGAAAAGGCCTCTAGCCCTTCTACACCAAATAAAGCTCAGAATATGCTTGTTTCATCAAAACAGGAGCCTTTTTCAAGTAAAGGTAGTTCCTGCAAAGGGTTTTCAAAGCACTTCTCTTGTCTAGGATGCATTTTGTTTTAAGTGAGGCTATCTCACCTCACACCAGCCAGTGTTACTGGTAATAGGAGTTCACCTGGGATAAGGAAGACCAAGGAAGATAAATCTGACTATTAAACTATCACACCCAAGGCTGAGGTTCGTTTCTCACTGAAACAAGATGCATTCAGCCATTGTTCATGATCAGTCCTCCACTTCCCTCGTGTAAGATCAGCTTGACACTACACCAAGGTAGCGGGGAAGGCAAAATACACACCTGCATTTTAGATAGAGGGTTCTGGGAACTGTTAGAGACAACAGTACTTCAGCAATATTCTACTGAAGCTACGTTACTACAATGTAATCAGAAAAAATATACATACATGTATTTCTAATATATGAAAACATTTATACATATATGTTTATAAAATATGTTTGTGTGTTTGCATGCATCTGTTCTGTAATCTTTTACTGTTCATGCTACATCACCAATCACTGCATGCAGGAAGCTGTACTTCTATCCATGCCTAATTATCACATGGACAACACGTTAAGCACTTCCACTCCAGATCAGAGTTTGCCTCACCTCTTCTACTCTGCACTGAAGCCATGGGAAAGCAAAACAGAAGAAACAGCAAGAGAAGTTAGAAATATCCACACAGAGAGAAACGTTCTAAAGAAATGAGATACTGGGTTTACTGTTGGCATTTCAGGTATCAAGTAGAACTTAAATCATTCTGCACTTGTGAAAGACATTAATACCAAGTCTTAATGTGGCTTTAGTTAAAACACACCTCTAATGCTTATTTAGAACTTCGGTCTATAGGCAAACTTCCAAACAACCTACAGAAACTTTGAGATTATACATATTTTCTCCTGTTTAAACTTCCTTTGTGATCAAGGTTTTGGGTAGAGATTTTATACTGTTGGAAAAAGTCTATAGAACAAATTGTAGAAGTCACCGATAGCCATTACTGTATCAACCAGTGAAGTTTGTTATGTACAAGAATAAGCCGCTAACGTAATAGCCTAATCATTAAGCACAGTGCTTTAGACAATTTTTTATTCCCTAGAAGAGAAGTATGCTATTCTGAGAAACTGGTATAAGCTATTTATTGTTACAATTACTCAAGTTTGTTAGGCTCTAGTTTGTGGAAAACAAACTACTTACTTATTTGATTTAAAGTTTCTTGGGGAATCCAGCTCATATCAACATCATTCTGATTTGATGTTCCCATCTCTACTTTCTGTACCGGTCTTTTCCTCTGAAAATTCAAGAAAGAAAAACAGTTCTTCTTTACACAAAGTTTTGATAGCACAAATATTAGAAATAACTAATAATGCTATATTTAATGAATTGCAGTTATTTCACTGAGAGACAAACTTAAGGCTAATCAATGTATGAAGCTGCCTTTGTAGCTTAGCTTTAACTACCTTTACCATTAGCAATTTATTCACTTAAGTTTGGCATTACCACTTGCAATGCCTCACAATACTTATTCCACACAAAGATATGAAGATTTCATGCATGCCTGGGCAAGTTCATTATACCTGTCACAAAAAATGGCTAATGATCAAACTTTGTGATGACTGGTCTCATTATACTTGCAAAATAGATTTTAAAGCACAATAATCATTCCATGCTTCTTCCCAAGGGAAGCTAATTCAAAAATATCGTAAGCCAGACTGCACAAAGACACAGCCTATGCATTACATGCAGATGAGGCTTAAGCTTTCCATGGCTTTTACTTGCCAGACCACTTACACGGACAAACCCTTAGCTGTTACAGCCTTACAAACAATCCAGAAGGCCCTAATCAACATCATGGCAAAGCACTGATAAGAACTAAATAAAGGACTAGACAGATATTTTTCCTCAAAGTTTGACCTAGATTAAACCAACAGACAGAGAGCATGGGGAAAGCCTACCCAGTAAGTGTTGAATCAGTAGCTGCATGCTTCCAGTTCAACCACTTCAGTGTGGAGCCAATGAGCATTAGGTAAAGCAATCTAGCCATCTCTAAATATGGACATTTTTAAAAACTCTTGATTTTCCCAGTAACCTCTAAAGTCTTGGTTCTAAAAGTAAATCTTCTAAAGTTTTACCTGTACCATTATATGCCGGAAGCAATTACTGAACTGCTTTCTTTTCATATCAGAAAGGTCTTGTATTAACAAGTACACAGACAAAATACACTACCCACCTTCCTAGATTCCAGTAACTGATGTAGGCCAACAATGACAAGTAGACCAAGTCCAGCGAGGAACATGTACATGAAGATCCTTTAAAAAACAGTTTAAGAAACTATTAACTAAAAATGTTAAGTATTTAAGAAAGTTTACAAAGAGGCATTGAAACTAAGCCTAGCTTTGGCCACAGTCCCACCTGATCTTTCCAAAGAACTTTTGTAGAGGGTAGGTGGGGAAAGAAACAATGAATCTGAAACTGAAGTGCTCACAAATATTAAGTAATTATCCTGACTGATTTCAGAAACTGTAATCCTAAACTTAATTCTGAAAAACAGAATATTTGAAAAATGCTGTATGATCTGGGAAACTATTATAAATCATTATTGAAATTCAGTAACTGCAGGAACTCTTTTGCAGTATCGTTTCAAGACATTGGATCACAGGTAATATTTATTTTTGTGACAGCTTTAATCATGTACAAAACTCTTAAAAGTCTCTTATATGCTTTTAGTATGCTACTGCAAAGCAAGTACTGCTAGGATATTAGTTTACTTGCAACAGAGCTTTGAAAGGCCTTGCTTATCTTGCTGTGTTCCACAGTTACGATTCTACTTATGCAAACAATTTTTTAAATCTGTGCATTTTGGTCTGTTTTGAAGAATTCTACCTGAAATACCTGGAGATACTTAGCAAGAAGTGAACATAAATTATATCTAAAATTAATTTAGGAAATAGGCAGGAATTTACAGGTAAAGAAACTATTCCAAGTTGAATATCTTAGCTGAGATTTATGACAAAGAAAATTATGAGAAAAGACTTAACTGAACATCCCTGCCTTAGGGTAATTATCTATTCACAGGACATTAACTTGAACTGATTCTACTAATTTGAATTCTTTTGAGAGCTCCCTTATCAGAGTATCACAGATTTTCACATGACCAATTATACTTTCTTTGATCCTATTTGAGAAATATGAATTAATGCAACAGTTATTTCTTTTGGTTGACCTTTTTTAAAGGGAAGCTTGCTTAGCACGCAATTTCTACCTTGGTAGGAGAATTTAAATATTCAGCATTGTCTACAAGCATTTCTGAAGTTTGTTTGGTTTTTTTTTTTTAACTCACAGATTCTCTTATAATTCCACTCCAGTGTTAGAATATTTAAAAGCATATCAGCACAGCATATGCTTGCACCATTCAAGGTATATTAGATGTACTTAGTCTTCAAGACAGGTAAAAAAAACCCACTCTTGAAAGATATCTGCTACACACAGGGGTTAGTGCAAGAAAGAATGAGTGTGAATTCCTCTATCTCATACTCCAAATACATCTTTCAGTTTATGTAATCTTGGATTATAGTGGAGTGCTCCAGAAGCAAGTTATTCCAGTTTTCACAGTAGGATCCACAGTCAAATAGCATGGACCCTCTGCATCTTTAACTCTTAGGGAAAAGCACAGTAGTATAACAAAAGCTTAACAGCTTTGAGTAGCTATGTAGCTAAGGTCATCAGGTCCTACTCCAGGCTTAAGCCCTCTGAGCCAAAGCAGATGTGCAAACTGCACATCAACATAATATCAATCCTGGAGAGCCCTAGTATTAATACCAACCTTCATTTGGTGAAAAAGTTCATATTTTCAGTCTATCAAGGTTGTAAAAGTCAAATGGCTGCTATACCATCAACAAAACACAGCAGACACAGCATTCAATAAAATGAGGATGCAAGAACTATTGTCACTGGTGCCATCAATAACCTGTTCTACCAGTATACCAACTAAACCGCCTTACGTTTCTCCATCCAGTCCATCTTCTTTTTCAATAATTGTAACAGTTTGATTGAAGACAGCATCTTGAAACACATTGCCCTATAACAAAGTTTCCACATAACATTTAAAAGTCACTTCTTAAAACACATACACAAATGTTTAGTTTTTCCCATGTTCTTGGAAAAACTCTAGAAAGTAGTAACACCTGCACGAGACTTGATTAAGTTTATAAGCAGTGCAAGTTTGACTCAACACATAAAAGCATAAACTTTTTGGTGCAAGTACAAAGAACGTCTTGGTATTAGCAGTATAGTCACATCTAGCCTTCAATGTGTTGACCTTCCTGTAACATGAGATATTACATATGAAGGGCTCTTATTAGAACAACCAAAACAAAGGTACAGATGCCTGTTAAACTTTGACCTGCACTAAAAGAGAAAAGCATCCCCTATTTTAATCTCAATTTATGCTTTTGGATAGTCTTCCCCCAGATTGCAACTACTGGTCATTTATTTGCTTGAAGTCGAGTTTGCAGATGGGATTCAGATTGATAGTTAAGTTTGTTAGCAAAGCCCAATCTGAAAAGCACAGCAAAATTTAATTATCATAAAAAAAGTTTTAGGTCTCTGTTTTTTAAAATAAAACCAAAAGTAGTAGCCCACCACAACACAGTTCTAAGGTATTCTAGCTTCCACTGCTGACATAACTAAGTCTAACATATACAGAACTAGATGTACATGGGGGGGCTATTGTGAAACATGTGGACAGTCACTTACTGTGCTTATGTATCTACTGATTTGCTTAAAAACCACAAAGGCATTCACTTTCTGAAGATGTAGTAACTTGACTAATCAGTTCCTTCCTGACATTTCCACATCAACTGGAAAGATTAAAATAAATTACAACATCAGGCTTACATTTACATCTCTGTAGTTAAGATTGATAACTAGTCCAAAAGGACGACCGCCCATAGGCTCAGAGAGTACTCAAACGTGGCTTGTCTCTGCGGTGGAACTACCGTATTCAGAGGGAGAGCTGTGAAGTTCTGGATATAAAACTGGTAGTCTTGAGGATATCGGAAAGAAGCATCAAGAGACTCAACAATGAAATCCTCTGTACCCTTATTGGTGAAGCCCACCAGAAATTTTACAATGTTGTTCGCTGGAAAGTCTAAAACAAAAAAAGAATTCAACCATTAGAAGCCTCATACATCATGCCTAGCCTGTTTCTAAATGGAGAGTATCTAAAACAGATTCTGGTTTGGGTTTGTTTGAGCTTCACTGTTTTATGCACACAGTGATAGAGTCTAAGCAACAGTAAAGAAGATGGTAGATCAGCACAGGGCTCTTACCTTCACCTTTCACAAATAAGATGGTTGTATCAGCACTAGGTGAGGCTTTAGGTTCTCCTGACAAGTCTTCTTCCTCTTTTTCTTCTGTCTAAGACATGAGACTTTTTTGAAAAATCTTATAAACGAACAGTGAGGCAAAGACCATGCTTGTTTCATGAGAATACCAAGGCATGCAACAATGGCAAGCATTAGTATCAATTCCTGCATAGCACATAGTCTGTTCTCCCTCTAGACTTGATTAGCATCATTTTCAGCATTTATCGTACTACTTGTTCTATTTGACACAGTGACTAATCTGAACTGCACTTAGCTGTATTGGAAGGTTTATAGTCAGCAACAGTAAGGTCTCTCAGAGTGGAAGGAAAAGAATAGACTCTAAATGTTAAGTGTTCACATCTAAGCTATTTCTATTTAGAAAACAAGCATTTCCAAAATTATAGACAACCATAAGGCAAATGAGTTACTTTCACTACAGAAGGAGTGTTTATAGAAACTTTCTATTCTGTTTTAACTAAGTATGTATATATGTACGTTAACTAAGCAAGTATGTATGCCTGGAAATGGTTAGACTGTTGGAACAGAGTTCGTGGATTCACTTGTTCAAGCTCACCTCTGTGATGAGTCACTTTTTAATTTGGCAAATCCAGGCATTAAGGGCTTATTTTCCACATGGGGATCATGGGATCGCCACCTCCCCCACCAAATAAAAACAAGGCTGACCCCATTTTGAACTGTCTGAACTAACCGCTGGTGAGTTAGTTAGATCATTTGATTTCACTGCTTAAACAACCACTTGAAGCAGTGGATAGCCTACTAGATCAGTCACACATCTACCGTGTTCATGGTAGACCATGAACCAGACCTAAGCCCCCATGCAAAACTGTATCTTCTACTTCAGTGACAAATAAAAGAAACTGCCTAAAAAATGTAATGTTTTTACTCAAGTCATAGACTATTAAAAGCAAATTACACCCAGAAGTTTAATTTAATAATATTCTGTTAGTACTGAATACCTAGCATACCTTCTATAACTTAGCAAAGCTGGTTTGAGCATAAGTTCACCAACTTACCAACATCAATAAAAATCTAATAGAATCAAAGAAATTTACCAGGTCTCCATTTTTATTATGCATGTCTTCTCCTAATAATGTCCCAAACTTTCCTACTTTACACCAGAAATTTGAGAAATTGTTGTAGCAATTTAAGTATACTAAGCATCTAGCAAGCCTAATACTCTACTGCTGTAAGCACATCACATAACTACATAAAATATTTCACTTTGTCAAGGAGAAGCAACTGACTCTGAACCACTGGTATAACAGGCATACCCTGCAACAAGTGTCAGAGACTAGGAATGTATTAAGTGAAAACAGGCTGCAAAACAAGGTTTTCAGAATTAATACTGAACTTAACTAAGATTCTGTTGCCCCTTGAAAATCAATACCAAAGAAGCCAGAATGTAGGAGTCCTACACCCTAATGTCCTTCTCAGTTTACTGAGATGCAGCTTAAGCTGGAAAAGAACTACAAGGGGCTCCTTTGAGAGTCTGGTTTCTCGCTTGGTGTTCTGTTTTTTGAACTGCAGTATTGGTAGTCAGAAATCAGGCTGTCCCCATGTGGTTTTTCAACTGCTAATTCAGGAAGAAGAGATAAATCCTTCTGAAACTTCAAACTGAACACAAGTTTAATTGGAGACTTGGAAAGAGCTATCTGGAAAATAGCAATGTTATTAAGCTCATATTTAAATATATCTAAACTACCTAGCTTCAAGCACATTAGCACACAAGTCTAATTCATACTCATGAGGTAACATTCATGTACAATTACCAAGTCTGTTGGCTCATCTTCTTCAACTTCAGCTTCATCATCTTCATCTTCAACTACAGTATCTTCCACAGCTTCCTCATCTTCTGTAGCATCTTGAGCTGCAACTAATAAACCTGAACCTACCAAAACAAAATGCAGATACAAGAAAGCCTTTTTAATGTCTAGTTAATCAACAGAAAACTGACACTGTAGCACAACTTTCAAACTGGCGTTTGAAGAATTTCTTAAAAATCTGTTAAATACAACATTTTGAAGACTCAGTTGCAAAAACCTCACATTCAAATTATTGTCTGTGTTGATCTTTCAGCCTTTTTCCTTCTCTAATAACTTTCTGAGCTACTTGTTTGTGTGCCAGGAAGTTCAAAACTAGAAAGTTTACAGCTGGGTGACAAAAAGTTCAGCATTCACACAGCAGTGCTTAAATTCACAGAAGGCAACCAACTTGCCTTAAAAGCTATTGTTTAACTTTTGACCACGTCAATCTATGAAAACATTTTAATTTTGTTTTGTCATTGCAAATGCAAAAATAAAAAGACACTGCTATTGCCAGGAAATTAATTTAGTAAGTACTGTTTCTTCTAAGACTAAGTTTAGTAAGTGATTAGCGGGTCCTTTTCATCTGGTGGTATCAGAACACTACACTTTCACAGGTAGTTAAAAAGTTACTACTTTTGTACTTATTTTCATTCCAGTTTTGAAACATAAAAAAAAGTCTCTTCTAATATGACCTCCTCACTATCATATACTACTACCTCCATATGTTCAGCAGAACCACAACACTAGTCAGAAAAGAAACCTGATCCAGAGCATGGCTCCAGAGCAAGGCTCCAAGACAAATGCAATCTGATAGTTCATTGCCTCTTTGCTTTTATGGAGCTGAGTCTCATACATTCAAACACTTGGCAGATACGATTAATATAAATATTGGCCACAGGACAAAGTTCTGTCTGCTTGCAGCTTAGAGCACGTGCAGGCTAGGCTGAGAACTTTTAAAACATAAAAGCAAAACTACAGATTTTTCTTTTAATAAAACTAGCATTTCCCAAAAATGAAAGAGTAGAAATGAATGGATGATGATTTACACAAGCCTGAAAAAGGTCTAGTTACTGTGAGTACACATTTAAAATAAATATTTTAAAACTTTCACAGGGAATAGAAATCCTTGAATAGGACAAGTGTATCCAAGGACCTCAAGATTGTCAGTCAGTGCTAGAAAAAGCAAATACAAGCCCTCCTCTCAAGTGCCTTTAGAAGGTACACTCAAAGACTTTTACTCGACCACGTTCAATACTTAACCTGAGACTACCTACAGTGATTTTATTTGCTGAAGTTTTGAACTTACAAAATAAAGATTTTTTTTTTTTAATTAAAACCTTTGCACCTGAACAGGGTACAGGTAAGTTACAGGCACTCTTCACAAGCAACTGCGCTAGCAGATTCTCTCAGACCTCTAATTTACGGTCTTTTCGATGGATGTCAGAAGGGCTGATGATGTGGCAATAGCGGGGAAGGAGAGCTGCCCGCTGCGGCAAGGAGCTAACACACAGCGTGTGCTGCAGCCCACTGGAAGAGCTGGGCGAGATGGCTGCCCTTCTGCCTTTCCAGACCCAGCAGCAGAGAGGCAGTTTTCAGACGTTGCCTCAGATAACATGGTAGCGTACGCGGAGATTGCCCGCCCGGCAAGGCGAAGGGCACCG